TCAAAGACTAGACTCAACTTCGGCCAAGGAGTTGGAAAGGGGGTTCCTACAGGAAGTCAGCTCTGATACCAACTTGTGACGCCCCCGATTCAATCGTACATTAATCATACACGCAAACGTGTACGATCAAGATCAGGGACTCACGGGAAGATATCACAACACAACACTAAAACAGAAATAAAAGAATACAAGCTTTATATTACAAGCCAGGGGCCTCGAAGGCTCGAATACATAGCCCGATACAGAGGAGTCAGCGGAAGCAACAACATCTGAGTACAGACATAAGTTAAACAAGGATGCCTTAAGAAGGCTAGCACAAAAGCAACAACGATCGAAGAGGCAAGGCCTCCTGCCTGGGACCTCCTAACTACTCCTGGTCGTCGGCGGTCTCCAGGTAGTAGTATCCATCGGCGATGGCATCTGGCTCCAGGGATCCGCCACCTGGTTGCATCAACCGGAAAGAAGAAAGAAGGGGGAAAAGGGGGTAGCAAAGCAACTGTGAGTACTCATGCAAAGTACTCGCAAGCATCAGATCTATACTAAGTATGCATTGGTATCAAATGGAAGGTTTGTATCTGTGGACTGAACTGCAGAATGCCAGAATAGAGGGGGAAGGCCTAGCCTATCAAAGACTAGCATCTTCAAGCAACTCCAGGCATCTTGCAGCACGTAGAAGAGTAAAGAATAGCAGTTTATAATTAACAAACATGTTGTAGAAACAACGCCCATAGATTCTTCCTCGATCCCGTGCGAGAAAGCAATCCCGGAGCCACATATCTCAAGTATCAATTGTAGTTGTATAAGATCAGGATATAAGTCTGAATGTCCGTTACCGTGGACACGGCTATTAATAGATAATCTTCCCTGCAGGGGTGCACCATGTTTTCCAACACGCTTGATTACTCTGGCCGGACACACTTTTCTGGGACAATGCCCGGCCTCGGAAGATCAACACATCGTAGCCCTACCTAGGCTCAGCAGAGAGGTCCCCGCCGGTCTACATCCTAAGCACTCCGGGGTCTTGGGCCCATCGCCCGCAGCACTCCGGGTCGTTGTGCAACGAGCCGGGACGAGCACCACCTCATTCTGGATGGCACTGGCTCGACAGGCCCACGATGCTGAACTGGACGTCTGACAAAGCTTCGGCTGATACTACGACGTCGAGGCCCATAACTATTCTCGCGTGGTGGTTAGTGCGTAAAGGCCAAAGGCCAACTCAGAACAAATACCCAAACCATAGTGTATTATTAGCTTGCAGAGACGATCAGAGACTCACGATCAAAGTGACCCCGTTGCCACGTCTCGTGGACTTATGGGAAGGGCCAAGAATGCCCGGCCGTGCCACGTCATTATCTTGCAGGTGCTCTCCGGGCCCGCCCGACTTTCACCAAGGTCTCAAGTAAAGTCAATGTAACCGTGTGTCCAAACATCAAGGGGAAAACACAAGGAATCACCCTCGGAGGATTCCACTCGATGTAATCATCAAGGTGAACGTAAGAGGAACCACCCTCGAGGTTCACACTTGAGGTGTTGCACAACAGAGCCGTATCAGGAATGGTGAAGGAGGAACCACCCTCGTTGACCACGACCGAATAGCTACACTATAGAGATCTCATCAGGAGTGATGTATGAGGTTCCACCCTCGACACTCGATGGTAACTCTGCAGAGTCGAGCAACAAAAAGGGACGTGATGTGATGTGAGGTGTCAGGCTCTGGTGTGGATCACGTTGATCGAGGCGTCGATGATGAAGCAGAGGCAACAAGGACAAGTGGAGGTCACTAATGGATCACTAGCCAACCTATACTAAGCAGTTTAGGATAAGCAGGTAGGTAACAATAAGCAGGTACAAAAGCAGGCTATGCATCAGCATAGGAGCAATCAATTACAGTAGCAAAATCTAATGCAAGCATTAGAGAGAATAGAATGGGCGATATTGGGATGATCCGATGAAAGGGAAGAAGAGTCGTCGTCGACGTAGTCGATCACAGGGGCAGCATCAGTCTTGGGGTCTACCGGAGAGAAGAGGGGGGGGGGGAACAATAAATACAGAGCAAACAAGTGCATGCCATGACAAGAAGCAGCACTAGGCGTGTTCTAACGCGATACTACACAATACCAACGAAGGGGGAAAACATCCGGGAAAGCTTTTCCGAAATTTGGCATTTTCGAACAGATGAAACAGAGGGGGACGGTTGCACGTTCGCTATGCTAGGGATGTGGGGCAGACGAGCGGACTACGTATCCCGATTCGTCTCGTCGTTCTGAGCAACTTTCATGTATAAAACTTTTTCCTCTGAGTTACAGATTATTTTCTATGAATTTTTAAAAAAATTAAATGATTTTCTAATTTTCTGGAATTATTTTAATTCAAAAATTAATTAATACGTAATTGCTAAGTGTACACAGAGAAGTGTACACGGCAGTGGCCTTAGTGGCTGGCGGGTGGGGTCGAGTTGACTGTCTAGTGAGCAGTCAACTAAGACCGTTGACTAGTCAAAGGGCCCAGGGGACCCGGATGTCATTGACTGGGTTATCACAGTCAGCAGTTTGACTGGTTAATGGGACCAGTGGGACCGAGGTGTCATTTACACATATTTTAGCATTTTCTTTTTAAGTGGATATTTAGAGGAGGGGGTCCACCTGCCATTGGGTAGTGGCTAATCTAACTAGTAATTAACCCTAAACTAATTGAACAGGGGCCGGCCTCACACACACAGAACACACACATACGCTAGTTACAAAGGGCCGGCCATACATAGCAGGGTCATAGCCAGCCATCGGGTTGTGTTTGCCATGGCCTCGCGTGAGCTCAACGTGGTTGAGCAGCAGCAGCAGCGCAGCAGAGCATCAGCGACTAGCGGGCAGCAAGCAGCATCAGCAGTTACGGGCAGCAGCGGCAGCGCTACAGCAGAAGCAGTAATCGGCATCAGCATAAATAGCAGCAGCAGCAGCGCGGCCGGGCGCTGCTAGGCCGCGGCAGGCACATGCGCGGGCGAGGCGCAGGGCAGCAGACGCACAACAGTAGAAACAGCAGCGGCCAGTAGAGCAGCATCAGCGGCCGCGGGCGGGCGCGGGGCGCGGCCTGCAGAAGGAGCACACAGGCGAGCACGACCGCAGAGCCAAGCAGGGGCGCGTACGCGTATGCTGAGCTTCGGCCATGGCGGCCGCCGGTTCGTACAGGAGACTACGGCGATGGATCGAGACCAGGATGAGGGGGATTCGGAGGAGGAGCTCAAGGCGAATCTGTAGGGGAGGGCAGCGGGCTCGTGGGAGGCTCGTAGGCGGCGAATCGAGCGGAGAGGCGGCGACGACCGTGGCGGAGAAGACAGTTGGTGGCGACGGTTCGAGGGCGTCCCGGCTTGATCTGGTCCTCGGGACGGACGAAGCCACCCGCTGCGGACCTCCTGGACGTCTACGTGAAACTTGGGGAGGCACCGGTGCGCGGCGACGACTACGACGCGGTGACGGCAGCGGCGTCGGGCGCGAGTGGCAGAGGGAGAGGCGGCGCGACGGAAAAGGGATTAGGGTTTAGTGGCGCGAGGGAGGCGACGGGGTAGGTCTTATAGGCACCCAGGTCGCCGGGGTAGTCGCCGGATGGTCGCCACGGCGATGGCCGGTGCCGTGGCTGCCATCGATGTTGTCCACGCCTCCTCTGTGAACAGAGGAAGGGGGAACAAGGGCGTGTTGGGCCGGCCTAGTGGCCAGTTGGGCCAAGGCCGAGGGAGGGGTGAGGCCTTTTCGTTTTTGTTGTCTTTTTTTACTTTTATTGTTTTAATTATTTGCTTCCAACTTTGCACTTTATTTGAGCTACTAAATGATTTTTGTTTAATACAAAACTCGGTAAAAAATTCGAGCGCAACATTCTGGGTTGCTACAAAAAGTTCCAAAGCATTTGGGAGTGTCCAACTATTTTAGAAATTGAAAAGGCCAATTTTAAGTGCTGCTGGACCACTACATAAATTTTCAGGGGCACTTTGGGAATCGAAAAGAGGTTGATTCCAACATGATAAATATCTAGGGATTATTTGCCACACTTTGAACATTTTATTTTGCATGTTTGAGAAATTTGAATTTTGGACTTTTATTTTAAACTTGAATTTGAATTATGATTTGGATCAACCAACGATCAGCAACAGTAAGAGTAGTGATGTGGCACCATTAGTGGATATTAATGTAGCTCAATTATTCGGGTGTCACATACTACTAATACTACCCGTTCCGCAACGGAGATTCTCCACGGTCTCGAGCTTGAGAAGATGGTGTACTGATGACAATGGGTTCAAGGTTAGTTGATCCGAGTCGATGCGGCTCTCACGAGTGGGATTCGTGACTGGCAAACTCGATGCCTCCATTTTTTATGCTGAAAGAGTAGTGGTTTGGGGATTTTCAATTGTGCACAAGTTGCTTTGAGAAGTTGCAAGCTCATGTGCAGTCTGCTGCGTACATAGGGGCAATGTGTTGCAATGATTTTGGGTTCTGCCGTAACGCAACAATTTTCTTTTTGCATTGTTTTTTTTTTTTGAATTTTTTTTTTGCATTGTTGGAACATTGACTTCTGTGTTGCATATGTTCTCATGACTTTCTAGGTGATTTGTTGCGACCAATGTAGATTTCTTACTTACTGTGTTGATATTTGGTGCCATATCTGCGCCTAGAGGCGGGTCCCACTAGTCAGATCAAGCGTCAGCACGCGGTTAGAATGTGGTCCGTGTTCCCTAGAAAATGGTTATGGTGGACCTACGGTTTTCTGTGAAAAAATGGAAACCACTGATTTTTCATCAAAGTCGACCCCAATTGTTGCGATTCTTTACTAAATTGCCGGAAGAAATAGATACATAGATACTATATATCACAACTCAGATGAACAATCCCATTGAATTTATTTTGAATTACATAGATACTATAGTAGTTTGTGGACAGCCCTCACTCACATTAGTAGAGGTACGTACAGAGCGCACTGCTAATGTGTCACGCTTGATGATTTCCTTGGCTGCTCGGCTAGCGATGACAATGACAAGACAAGCAGAACATAATGATGGCAAGGTAGCCCTGCAAACCAACACTGAACACGCCGACATACAAGCCGACTGCATAGGCCACCAGGAGAGCGAGAAAATTCACCACGGTAGTGATTTTCATCACCCTCAGCGACCACTTTTCATTCTCCTTGTTTATCTTTTCAGCCTCCTTGTTTTCATGCTTCTTGTTTATAACCCACCAGTGCCTTAGCAGCATGATGATGACAAGGATGGAAGCCACGAAGGAAATGGAGTTGCTGTAGAAGAAGGTTAGGTACTGGGGCGTCCTGTTGTCGTTCATCACCGGGTTGCCCGCCTCGTACCTGTTGCCGCTGCTCTGCCACGCTCCGCCGGGCGGCTTCAGGCCGGCCTGGTAGGTCACGCTCGCCACCAAGATGCCTAGCAGCATCAGGTACTTGCGCTTCGCGTGCATCGTCTTTTCTTCCTTTTCGACGTCGATGGATACGCCATTTCTCTGTGGCTCCGATGGTGCTGCCGAACTTGCTTGCTCTTCCTCCTGTGCGATGGATATGCCATTTCTCTCAACTTCGGCTGCCGAATTGCCATTTCTCTCCAGTTCAGTTCCCCAAAAAACCGCCAGCAAAATGACGGCAACGCCGAGGACCACGGCCACCAACACGAAGATGTAGATGGAGGTCGTGATGTGCTGAGTGCTTCCCGCGGCGTAGCCCGCCAGCAAACCAAACAAGCCCACCGCCGCACAAACAGATAACGCATTGCTTCGAACGGCTGGCCTGTATAGATTGGGGTTCACCAGGAGGATGATGAGGGCGATGGACAACATGAAGCTCACCGTGTTGCAGTAGAAGAAGGCCTTGTAGCGGCGCGGGAAGTTGTGCAAGAGGATCGGATCACCGACGCGGTGCCCGAACTCATCGTCCTTGAGCAGGAAGCCGCCCGGAGGGGTGAGGCCGGCTTGGTAGGTGATGGTCGCAGCCAAGATCGCGAAGAGGAGCAACCGCTTGCGCCTCTTCTCCAGCAGCTCTTCGTCACCTTGCTTGTCCTTATGGTCCAGCGTGAAAATGACGACATGGATCACCACATAGATAAGGACAACGCCTGCCAAGGCCATGGCGTAAATGGAGGTGTCCACGTCCCGGCAGCTCCCGGCGGCATACGCGCCCATGAGGCCAAACAGGACGAGTATCATGGCTACCTCCAGCACGTGGTGCTTGAGCAGAAGCTTATTTTGGACCAGGATGATGGCCACCAAGGAGGTCACCAAGGCAGCCGAGTTGCAGTAGTAGAAGGCCTTGTACCGCCTAGCGTTCGTCGTGAGAAGGATCGGGTCGCCGGCCATGTGCCCGTCGCCGTTATCCTGCCACAGGCCACCCGGCGGGTCCAATCCGGCTGCGTAGGTGATGGTGGCGGCAAGAGAGGCGAGCAGTAGAACAAGAGAACGAGCCTTGTCCACAGCCTCCCTAGAATCGCATTCCCTGCAGAGAAAGAAACAGAGTTTCGATCCTGACATTATTAGCCAAGACTTGGTTGATGCCACATATGAATCTATGATTGTAGAGAAAGAAAAGAAAAGGTGCTGCTCCGGAAAGTGCGTTTATGCTCCCGAGCTCAAATGAACAGTAAAATTGAGTTTTTTTTTCAAAAAAATACCATTTTTTTGGGAGAAACATTGACAAAAGTTCTAAGTGCTTGCAAAAATTTGTCATGGAATCATATTCCTGTAAAGCGTGGCAAAAAAACAAAAAAAAAAATCAGTGCTCCAAAATGTTTTCGAAAGTGGCATTTTCAGAGTATCGATTTTGTTTTTTTTTGCCACGCCTTCTAGGAATGTGATTTTATCATGAATTTTTGCAAGCACTTAAAAATTTTGTCACTGTTTCTATTTTTTGATTTATTTTATTTTATTTAAAGTTTACTGTTCACTTGATCTCATTTGAGCTCGGGTGCGGAAACTCTGTGTCCTGCTGCTCCTTAGTTCTCCTTCCATTCCCTCAACAAATTTCATAGATTTTTTGATTTTTTTTAGATAACACTGTTCATCCGAAAGCATGTGAGCTCGAGCTCACAATAGCAAAACATGGAGCTTGTGAGCTCGATTGGATGAACAGTAAAAAAACTAAAATAATGTAAAAAATTCAAAAAATATGAATTCTTTTGTCATGAAATATTGATTATTTTTCTACACGCGTGCAAATTTACGTGATGAATCATGTTTATGGAGGTGCCGGAAGAAATAATAAAATTGACGCTCCGTCAGGAAAAAAAATCGATTCTCCAAAATGCTTCCCAAAACACTCTTTTTGGAGCATCAATTTTGTTATTTTTGGAGGCACCTCTATAAACACGATTTAAAATTTGCATGCAGGTAGAAAAATCATCAATGTTTTCTTTAACTATTTTTACAGCGTTATTGTTCATCCGAGACCATGTGAGCTCGAGCTCAGAATAGCACTTTTGGTTTTATATATTTCAATATAGACTACATAACGACTGAAATGAGTAAACAACACACTAAAATATGTCTATATTACATTTGATTTAGAAAATAAGATATAATCCCTCCGTAAAGAATTATAAGAATGTATATATCACTAAAGTAGTAATCGTGTTTATATCATTAAAGTAGTAATCTAAATGCTCTTAACATCTTATAATACTCTACGGAGGGAATACCTGACATTATCAGTCTGCTGATTTCCCCCTATTTCATGGGACCTACCACAATGGAGTCGCATGGAACTTTTTTGACTTGCAGTCAAATTTGGCCGGACCGTTAGAGCCACCTCCTTCGTTGGCCCGCTCGTATCCCCGGACATCCCTCTAGCCCCCGCCTCTTCTCCTGCGCCGGCGACCATCCCTGCCACTCCAACCTGAGTGGTTGAACCCTCTGTCCCGGTGACACTGCGTTCACCGCAGAGAAATAAAGAAAGAAAGAAACAGTGTCCAGTTAAGTTATTTTATAAACTGGAAATAACGCCCACATGAAATATGATGGTTGCAGAGGAGAAACAGAGTTCAACTGCAAGCTGGATTTTTTTTTTTTTGATATAAGAGGCGCTTGCCCGGCCTTAAACTGAGGATATGTTTTATAAGGAGATTTTTAAAAATAACTTATGATCCAGACAGAGAGAGAGAGAGGATATGTGCTCACCATTTTGAGGAACGACATTTCAAAAGCACAGCAAGTAGGATGCAAGCGACAACCAGGGTGATGATCACGGAGACGGTGGTGAGGGTGTCCCTGCAGCTTCCGGCGATGTACGCGCCGACCAGGCCGATCAGCGCGATGATGATGCAGGCGTAGAGCGCATACTTGCCTGGCAGGCCTAACTCCGGTTCCTCGTGGAGCTTCCTGTCTGCGATGAGCTGCGTGCTGATGAACAGGGACGCCACGAACGCCGTGGTGTTGCAGAATAAGAACACCGTCAGGCGCAGGTCGTGGCGGTCCCTGAGAATCGGGTCGCCCGGGTGGTGGCTGCCCCCCGTGCTGTCCCAGAAGCCGCCCGGCGTGCTAAGCCCGGCGACGTACGTGACGCTCGCCGCGAAGGTCGCGAGAAGCATCAGGATTTTGCAGTGCCGTTCTTTGCCTTTGGCCCTGCCGGAGACGGACTCGGACTTCTTGCCAGGAACGCGGCAATTGAGAACCACGACGTAGACCAAGACAGTGCCCACCGACACCGTGCAGTACAAGACGGCAGTGAGCACTGAGCACGTCCCGGTAGGTGCCGGCGCCGTAGGCGCTCATGAGGCTGAGCAGGTCCAGCCCCATGACAAACCGCAGCACCAGCAGCCCGAACACCTTCTTCCCCCTCTTCTTCTCATTCTCCTTCTCCTTGTCCTTCTCCTTCTCCTTGTCGTGCTGGATGGCGAGGACGAGAATGAGAACGATGACCACGAGCGACGCAGCGAACGCGGTGGCGTTGCAGTAGTAGAAGGCGAGGAGCCAGTGGTAGTGGGTAGCGCGGATGATAGGGTCGCCGGCAAGTCGGCCGTCACGGGTGTCCTGCCAGACGCCCCCTGGCGGGTTGAAGCCTGCGGCGTACGTCACGGTGACCACCAGCGTGGCCAGCAGCAGAAGGTATTTCCGCAGGCGGTACTCCCAGTCCCAGTCCAGGTCCCAGTCCCAGTTCCGGCCCCATGGCTGACCGGTCCCGGTTTCCACGCCCATTGTCGCCTCCCGACCGTTCTCCACCACCTCCATAGCCGGCGGCTGCAGGGACGCCACTCACTACGAGTTCTTTTTCTCAACAAGTGTGCTTCTGATCTTGATTACCGTGCTGTGGAAATGGCGAACAGCAACCATCGGATTCGGATAGGAGTGGGAACGGCAACCATCGGTTGCGTTACTTCTATATAAGATGAGGGCTCGAGTTAACCTTGCGCGCGTCGCGGGGAGTAAGGCAGGTGCCGGGTCTCGTCTTCTTCTTCGCCCCGCGTGCGTATCCTTTTCAGGGTGCAAAGGTACAGTACTGTGTCATCATTAGTACAGCAACTCCCACATATGAACGCAGCGGACTCAGGTAGGGGACGAGTACTGTCTCTTTCTAGGTATCCTTGAGTGTGTTCGGGTTGTCGTATGTACATTTGAAAAGTCTAGATTCATCACGAGGCACAGCCGATCCAGTCGGAGAATCCCAGTCTGTTGACTCGCCCAAAAAATGTGATTCTCCGGGATCTTCCAGTTCTAGGCACAAACAAGTACGCTGTAGATTATGTTTGTTTTATTTTCAGAAGATGTTGATGTAATTCATTAGTCAGTGTAATTGTTACGGTTTTGCTATTTCTCAGGTACCTGGAATTTGTGCCTAGAACCTTCTTTCTTATAGCATCTCCAGCCGTTCGGCCCCCCAGGACGCTGAAAGAGAGCCGTCTGAAGCCGAACCGGCGTTTCTTGGCACGTGGGGGCGATTGTGGTCCCAGTCGCCCCAGGTCGGCGCCAAAATCACGCAAACTCGGCGATCTTTAATAGAAATTTATACAAACTCGGCGACCTGACACAAACTCGGCGATATTTCATAGAAATTTGTACAAAACCAGATAAACATGCAAATTACGCCTAGAACTACCGCTACGCCGCGGCCGTCGCCCGCCTTCTACATGCCGAGGAGCTTGTAGAAACGGGTGTAGCCTCCGCCGCCGTCGTCGTCGTCGCGCGCCCCGCCGCCATCCCTGCTGGACCCCTGGCCAGGGTCGTCGCCGACGCGCGTGGGGTTGGACGGACCGGCCTCATCCTCCTCGTCGCTGTCGAGGACGACGACGCCGCCCTCTTCGCGTCCGCGGCGCCGGGCCTGACACTGGGCCTGGAGCTCCGCGTATGCCCGGTGCTGGGATTGCTCCACCATCATCTCCACCACGCCGTCATGCTGGTTGAGATCCCATCTACTTCTCCTCCCTCTCTTGCTAGATCAAGAAGTAGGAGACGTCATCAAGCCGTATGTGTGCTGAACGCGGAGGTGTCGTCCATTCGGTGCAAGCTCAGATTGGATCATGAAGAGTACGACTACATCAACCGCATTATATACGCTTCCGCTTAGCTATCTAAAAGGGTATGCAGATCTAATCTCTCCTCTCGTAGATGTTCATCTCCTAGATTGATCTTGGTGAGCCTAGGAAATTTTTTGTTTCCCATGCAACGTTAGTTGCTGCATCAAAGGGGACACCACTGTTTTGGTTGGTGCTCTTTTGATCTTGGGCTATCGTGTAAAATGTATTCCCATTTATCTTGTACCCTTTGTAAGTTAATACAGTCGAAGATGGTCCCCTGGCCAATGAGTACAGCTCATCGGAAATAGTGGTGTCACCCATGAGATGTGTTTGCAACCAACTGCCGAAAGTCCTGATGTGTTCACATGTAATCCAGTTGTCACACTGCTCTGGGTGTTTGGAGCGTAGAATATTCTTGTGTTCGTTGACATACGGGGTCACCAAGGTAGAATTCTATAGAACTGTGTAGTGTGCTTGAGACCAAGAATGCCCGTCCCTACATATTATTGAGTCCTCTCCTAGCGTGCCTTTTCCAGTCAGTCTCCCCTCATACCGCGATTGAGGGAGACCAATCTTCTTAAGGTCAGGAATGATGTCAACACAAAAACTCAATGACGTCCTTTTTTATGGGTCGTAGAGATGCTTCCTTCTAGCCTAGCATAGTTACGAACATATTTCTTTAAGAATCCCATGAACTTCTCAAAGGGGAACATATTGTGTAGAAATACAGGGTCCAGAATGGCAATCTTGTCGACTAGATGAACTAGGACGTGTGTCATGATATTGAAGAAGGATGGTGGGAACACCAACTCGAAACTGACAAGACATTGCGCCAAATCACTCCTTAACCTTGGT